ATTGCCTATGGCTGCAGTGGTGAGATGGAAGGAGTGCAAGACGAGGAGATCACCTTCACCTCGGCACGCATCTTCACTGACGAGCATGATAAGTGCGATTGTCCTCTCCTCGCACCGCTGTCTATCGTCAACCCGTGTGCCTGTCAGTCTCGTTGAAGAATGCAGAGGTGAAGGCCTTGTGTGCGTGTGTGTGTCTATTTGCGCGCTTAGATACAGTGGGGAAAGTGGGAAGCGGGCCCACGCTTGAACTTCAGTGCAGTGAAAGTACTTACCAAATATCTAGGAGTGACATCAAGACAACAGATGAATGGGAGGCTTGGGTAATGGAGGACTAATGAGAAAGTTTTTTATCTCCATTCTCACGTTTCGTAGAAACTTCTCCGCTCCTCCAAATTTGCTGGCAAAGAAGCCATCCCACCAGATCATCGTTTTAAATTCCCTAATTAACATTATAGTTTTGTGAAAAGGATGAAAATGAGGTAAAGGGCGACTTTTTTAAAAGAGACTCCTCTAGCATGCACTTAGGATTAAATCAGACACGACTATGGAAAGCGATGCACAATGAGTTTTAATCTCTTAACTCGGTCCTGAAGTTAAGAGAATAATTTTGGAGTCTGTTAATTGTCTTACTCATTTTCCTCAGATACTTAACAGCTATTTTAACCAGGAGAAGTAGTTGCAGTCGACGCGTGACTTTCGGGTTGCAGGCGGACAACCTGTGCCTATAAAGCAAATCCTGTATGGCAATAAAAACAAATAGCAGCACGCTTATCTACAACCCTTTGGTTTTTATGGCTCTTGCCATCAGAATAATGTCCCGCTTTGGCCCAGCAAAAATGTTAGCAACTCACTCATCACCCAATTCTGTGTGAGATGGAAGACGACTGTGAAGAGACAGCTGACAGTGCCTACCGGAAACGAAGTAGCCGTCGGAAGCTTCCCTTGGCACGCATATCACTGTGGAGAAGAAGTTGGAAAAAGTTGTCTCAAATCAAGGGACACCTTGCTAGCGATGGACACATCGTCGTCAGCTGCAAAAAATTCGGATCGCATGAGGGCAAGCGCGGTTGTCTATCTCTCTCCTCCCCTCCTTGTATGCAATTTGCAGAACTGTCCATTCCAGCAGGATGGATAAGTCTAGCTGATTCCTCGCGAAAGGCCTCCATTGTCGTGGCACTGAAGTTGTAAGTGTCGATGATGGGATAAACTCAAAATTTCAGCGTCAAGTCTAGGGCACTGGGAATAGCTTGTCATCTTTTACTGTTTGCACTTCCACCAGCATGACATGCGTGCGCTTGTCACACACCTATCACATCCTACACTCCCTCCTGACTTAAAAGATCCGAAGGAATTGGTCTTCTTGTGTACTAAGTTTACGTTTATATGAAGGCAAAAAACTGTTAATTTGACAAGACGGGTGTCAGTGAGTTCCTGTGGCAAATGATCCACCATCATCATCATCATCTCCCTTGCCACCGCTAAGTGGAGAAGACACTGTTTTTGAAGGCTATTGGCATTTCAATTCATCTACCCTTTACATGGTGACGAAGGAAAATGCTCTAAAATGACTTAAGCCCTTCGACACCTACAATTAAGCAAAATAAGCGCAGATGCTACTAAACAAGGCTTCTTTAGTTGGTTAAATACATGAGCCGGTTGTCAAACGACTGCAAATTTTCTTACTCCGTGTAGACGAAAAGCAGTTTACTTGTCAGAATTAGCCGATGAGCAGATTCCAAGTGTCTTCGCTGGTAAAACAAGGCTTAGTAAACGTCAACTTTTTAAAAACACACTTTCAACATCTGTTACAATGAAGCATCGTAGTTGATGCACTAATGAGAACAACTTGCGCTCGTGATCGGCGACCATTCAGAATGGAATGTTCAACTAAGGGAAGCGACCCGCCGAGGAAAAGCCATTTCCGATTTTGCGTTGATGGCAGGACCTCTCTCAATGGTGAAGTGGGCCTGCAGGATTGTACAAAATTGCAGAAAAGAACCAAGAATGTTAACGCTGCCTAAATATGGTCAAGAAATGAGAGAGCATTGCTGCATAAGATGATCGACTTCGGAACTATTTGGAAGCGTTGGAGTCCCAAATATTAAATGAGATGCTGCTCTGAAGTCTAACGTTTGATTCCATAGTTTGAGAAGCAAATTCTCTCCTTTATGTTAATAAAGTTAAACGCCAATTTTTACTAATCATACAATTCTGCATTTGGTTGTAGGTAGGGCGAATCTCTTCAACCCCTCCCTTAACTCGAAGTCACTTAGACAGGCCGCTTTAAAAGGACCAAAGTTGAATCATTCAATTTTGTCAACATACCGCATTCCAAGGTCCAAATTCAGGAAAGACGACAATAAATTGTAGGCCCATTTGGAGTGCATTCTAAAATGCCTAGTCCGCGTCCATAAGTTTACATAACTTGTGTCCCTTAGGCAAAAGTCAAGGCGCGCCAATTCCACTTTGATGCCTTAAAATATTCGCCGTCTGACGAATGTACAATTGACTTGCAAGTAGACAAGGGATCCAGGGTGTGGGAGAGATTGGACTTCGTCAAGGTCCTTCTCCAACTATCACTCAACCACATGACTGCACGGGAAGGCGAAAAGGTGGGGCGGTTGGATGCCTTACTGCAGTCATTAAATGATCCATAAAAATTATGCCTTTTCCAGTTGCTCGTCTCAGTTCCCGATAAGGTGACTGACTTGGTGGTTCCTGGAGATGAGCGAGTTGATTTTGAAGATTTGTCATGCAAAACACCGCCTTGAAGAGGAGGTGCGTGCACCATGCACTTGAAATGTCCCACATTGAAGAGTGTAAGGCCTCTTTGGAGGTCAAAATCGCTGAAGTGAAGAAAGATTTTGATGTCTTGCAGAATTCACTTGGGAGCAAAGCCACGGTGACACAAAACCATGCATAGCGAGGCGACGAAGTTTGAAGGAAGTGGTGATGCCTAAAATCACAAAATTAGTCCACAATACATGAGTTTTGCACAGTCTAGAACTCGGCGCTCATTTCTCATGTCCTGAGGTGGTCACAGCAGTGAGTCGACCACCACCACCACAATCTCCATCTCTCCCCACTTCCGACTAAAGCGGCTATCAACGCGTTCGTGAGGAGCAAGAATTGAGTGAACAAAGCATTTGTAGTGATTAAAACAATTCCCTCCACCAAAAATGCAGTAAAATGAAAAAAATTGTTTTCAAACTTTCTGTTGTACCGGCAGTCAGGGCAAGCAGACACCAACTGAGGACAACTTCACGCTCTCCAACGTTCTGTGCGAGCGCTTTTTCGTAACGGGACGACCAAGTAAGGAGGAAGTGGTCATCCAAATGTTCATAAGCATTTAAAAAATTCCCAAATTCTTCCCTCCTCAGTAGTTAATGCACAGCTGCTACACCCCTGTTTCTTTGATGCAGCTGCCACACCCTAAGCGGTCCTCCCGATGTGGCGGTGGAACAAAGCCATCACTAAAGGTCGCAACATAATTTCTTCTGTCTAATCCTGTCCTGGCCCGGTAATCTATCTCTGTGCTTTCAGCGGTATGCCAGTAAATTTTATGCCCTCCCCGAAGCACAACACACATCCATAATTGTGTTGACAGGAGGTAAGTCATAAAAACTTCCATCTTCCATCCTTCCACCCTGCATTGCAGACCATATGGTGCAAAGAATGTCTAGCGGATAATTTTTATTTCTTGGGGGAGCACCTGGAGGAATGGGAAGGGCATGGCAAAGGATCCTGTTTATGCCACTGCAATCCCTCTACTCACCGGCCAGGCACTTGATCCTTCCACACTCCGGTTTGCCACCGAAAAGGGAGATGTGAAGAGGACTGTAATGTTAAAATTCGCTTATCCAGATCAAAAGTGATGGTATTAGGGGGTACACCTCTCTGCAGATTGATGGAGGCCATTGTTCGTCGTTTCGTTAACATCATCGTCATTGTCGGTTTCGGAGTTGGACAAAACTGCAAGAATTTGTCGATGCCTGATTCTCCATTTCTTGCATTGTTTTTTTATATAGAATTAAACTCTGTAATCTGCAACTGTTTACCTTCGTTTTTTTTATTTTTTGATGGAATCATAACGGGGTGGTTTGCAGTACTGTTCGTCTTCGTGACGATGCATCTCGAAGACCACGAAACCAGCCGAGAAGTGCGAGGGTAATTAGGCGGACCAGGAAAGGAGCGTCACATCGCCTTCTCCTCCCAGACCTTGCTGATTTCGAGAGACATTTTACTTGATCTCCAAATCGTAGGAACTCTGTAACCCACGCAAAAGCGATGATCAGAGACTGAGCGCCGATTTTGCTTTCTTCTCTCCGACGTTTATATTACCTCACTGTAGATTTGCTGTTCGGCGATTTGCAAGGACATTTCTCTTGCAGGTGACGTTGACAATAACCTAATCTTGTCACTGATGCTTCAGAGCAATTCCGTGAGGCGTTAGTTTAGGCGGATTATTTTTAGCTAAGTAAGTAAGTAAGTAAGTTCAACGACATCTTCTTCCTCACTCCTCTTGATCGGCATCACAGAGT